CGGCGGCGGAAGGCGGCGGCGGCGGGGAAAGGCGGCGGCGGTGTGGGCGCGGGGCTCGAGGCGGGCGGCGGCTAGGGTTTCGGCCCGGGATGGGCCGGCGGCTTATAAAGGCTGAGGCCTGGAGGAGTCCGGGCCTAGCACGCCCATAGGTCGGTTCGGAGGTTTTTTTAAAAAAAATTACGCTCGGAAAAAATACAAAATGACTACTAAATGGACTCCAAAAATCTCGAAATAAAATTTCCCCGGCTTCTAAAATCAAGCTGCACAGGATGAACATTGATTTGGGGCCTAAATGCAATTTTGAAAAATGCGCATTTTTTCTAAATTCAAATAAAATAGCAAATAAACCAAATAAAACCTTAAATGGTTTTTTCATTAAATCCTCAATATTTCTTTATTTTGGGAAAGTCATTTTATTCCCTCTCTCATAATTTTTTTGTAATAGAAATAGTTGAAGATAAACTAAATAAAATCAAAAGATCCTATTTTCAAAATTTGAGACAACTCAAATACGAAAATAACGAAATCCCCAACTCTCTCCGAGGGTCCTTGAGTTGCGAAAAATTTCTAGGATCAACCAAAATGCAATAAATATGATATGCAATGATGATCTAGTGTATAACATTCCAAATTGAAAATTTGGGATGTTACAAACCTACCCCCTTAAGATGAATCTCGCCCTCGAGATTCGGGTTGGCTAGAAAATAGGTGAGGGTGGTCTTTCAGCAATTCTTCCTCTCGTTCCCAGGTGGCTTCATCCTCCGTGTGGTGGCTCCACCGAACCTTGCAAAACATGATAACCTTGCTGCGGGTGACTCGACTGGCATACTGTAGAATCTTAACTGGTTTCTCCTCATAGGTCAAATCACTGTCCAACTGAAGCACTTCCAGTGGTACCGTATCTCTCAGCGGTATGTCAGCCATCTCTGCATGGCACTTCTTCAACTGGGATACATGGAACATGTCGTGAACTCCCGACAATCATTCGGGCAATTCCAACTTGTAGGCTACTTCTCCCATACGCTCCAAAACTTTGTATGGGCCTACAAAACGTGGCGCTAATTTTCCCTTAACTCCAAAGCGCTTAACTCCTCGAAGTGGTGATACTCGAAGATAAACTCGGTCTCCGACTTCGTAAACTGTCTCCTTGCATTTAGAATCTGCATAACTCTTCTGCCTGGATTGAGCTACCTTCAGCCTGTCGCGAATTAATTTCACTTTCTATTCAGATTCCTTTATCAGATCCGGTCTAAACAACTGGCGGTCTCCAACTTCATCCCAGGACA